CACTTTTTGTTTATTGTTAAATAAAAAATTTTAAATAATGAAAATCAATAATTATATCATTCTATCTTGAAGTGACAAGAATTACTGACATTTGAGTAAAAACATTGTTGGAATCTATTAAATTTTGACAAAGTTATGGGCATTTTAAAAAAACATTCTCGCTGTCAATTCGAAAAGTTGATTTTTGCGTGAAAAACAAAATCGCGTTTAATTCGGCCGAAAAATTTTCCGAGGCAAAAGGTAAAATACGTGTCTCATCATTTGGACCAACAAACAATGTATTTGAGTTTGGTCGAAATTAAAAATCATGCTCGTACCTGACCGGTTGTCTGAAATGGAAAGCATCAATAGTATTTAATATAACATATCAATAAATAAGGCTAATTATTTTTACAGGTCTGATGTCGAAATGGAAACAGCCGGTATGATTTCGACTGCAGGATGACAAAAGAAATACTTTTCAGCATCATAAGCTCGGTGAAGACGTGTGGGTATCATGTAGCCGCTGTTGTAAGCGATTTAGGCGGAACAAACCGAGCGCTATTTAATGACCTCGGTGTAAGCACCGATACTCCATGGTCAGTAAAATTTAGTCTCCTAATATGTACACTACTTTTATTTTATAGTGTAACAATTTTTTCTTAATTTTAGGTTTATCTACGATGATAGGCGAATATTTGTGTCTGCGGATTCACCACATCACATCTTCTACGTAACCACTTTTTGGATAGTGGTTTTACGGTAAACGGCAAGGAGGTGAAGAAGGATACAATCGTCGAGTTGCTCTCGTGTACTTCCTCAGAGTTATCAATAACTCACAAAATTAGCAGCAACCACCTTAGTGTTGTTGGGCCCCAGCGACAAAAGGTGAAAATGGCAACAAAGCTTTTTTCGCACACCGTTGCGCAAGCGATTACGCATGCTTCCAGCCTAGGCTACCTCGGAGGTCACAATTGGGAGGAGTGTCATAAAGTTTTCAAATTGGTAACTAGTGCTTTAACATTATATTTTTCACATTTATGCGATGGAATCCCTCCTTTTTAGGTAAATGACTAGTTTGACATCGTGAAAGTAAGAGTACCGTATTCAGATACTAAAAAACGTACTCATGCGTATGGATTAGCCTAGGTTATTCGAGACGGAATCCTACAGCAAATGACGCAACTCATGACCGAAATTCGCGTCGTTGGGAAATTAAATATCATGCCTTTTCAGAAAGGTACCTTTTAATTTAAAAACCATACTTTAATCAAATTAAAACTAAAAGCAGTTCCAAACTTTTGTGTTTATAGGAATTATGCAATCTAATTTGGCTTTAAAGTTGCTATACGAGGATGTAATAAGTCGGTTTAATCTTAAGTATATCCTAACGTATAGATTGAATGAATCTAATTTCTAATCTAATTTGGCTTTAAAGTTGCTATACGAGGATGTAATAAGTCGGTTTAATCTTAAGTATATCCTAACGTATAGATTGAACGAATTTTTTTGGCGTTATTCGCTCGAAAGGGGGCTTGAATGACCATCCCGATCGCCAACAATTCAAGTATCGCCTGCGCTCCTACATCGTCGGATTCAACGAGGGCGTGCTTTCAGACAGTGCGAATGTGTCAATCGACGACACTCCAGACATTGAGTTGGAAAGCAACTCGCTCACAGGTAATGCAAAAGATAATTTCTATTCTGAATATAATCACTACTTCATATATTAATATATAACTCTTTACTTAGGCATCATTTTCAATAAAGTTTTATTGAAATCAGACGAAGGCAACGAAGAAAGTAGCGCGCAAGAGGAACAAGAAGTGGAAGGTCTGGAAAACGACGGGCTCGAAATTCCGCGAGGTATATCTGTCGGCCGCTGTGGTGTAGTGGTAAGCAGTGCGCGCTTTCACTCATCAGCACCCGGGTTCAAGCCCTGGTCAAGGCAACATCGCAAAAAATATAGAAAAAATGTTTTTTCTTAGCAGCGGTCGTCCCTCGGCAGGCAATGGCAAACCTCCGAATGTATTTCTGCCATGAAAAACAGCTTCTCATAAAAATACAATCGCCGTTCGGAGTCGGCGTAAAACTGTAGGTCCCTCCGCTTTGTGTGAGAACATCAAGGCGCACGTCACAAATCGGAGGAGAAGCTCGGCCAAACACTAACATATGTGTAAGCGCCAATCTATTATATTATCTGTCATAAACTACATAGCTCAGTGCCAGACTTGAGAGCAGAAAATGCCGATGACAGCTATACCTGGGTGAACCACCTTACGGAAGGTGGTTTATCAAAGCCCACAGAAGAGATGATGGCACATATGCAGCAATTGCAGTGCGTGTTTGACGAAATTAACGGCAGCGGGTTAAAGATAATGCTAATGATAAAACTTCGTAGACGACCACATCAGAAGCGCCAATCATATAAGCTGCGATGTGAAGGTCAAGAGATTATTTTTCCGTACACGCATATTCGTCAGAATACGAACTTTAAATAAGCAACTTTCTGACAGTGCAAAATCACGAAAACGAAAGTTTAGAAAAATATTCACATAAAGTAAGTTGTAAAGGGTACATATTTACATACATATGATGTATGCTGCAATCATTAATCTAATAATTTCAGGAGCCTAACAGGTGGGAACTATCCGCTGAAGATGAACAGCACAAAAACCTGGAAGACAGTCTGGTGAAAGAACGAAGCATTCATATTTTGTATTGTGGCATATTGTACCTCCATATCAGAGGCTGCCACAACGTAACGCTCTCACTAACCTGCTAACTTTGCACATGCCTGCTCCATAAGTTGGCGATTGTAAATTATTGTAAGTATCAACGTAACTGTGGTAAGTGATGGTCCAACAGAACAAATACTGGATACGGTAAGTTACTTTATTTTATATTTATTATTAATGACCAAATCATATAATATATAGTATATCCATTAGGTTTACCAGTCGATACTGTATTTTGGAAAACTGGAAATACATATACACATATACGCGCTTTCGAAAGTAAAAACTGGACATTTAATTATCAACAGCATTATGCAGCATGTTTTTACCACGATACAAGGTACTAAATATTGAAGAATAACAAAAAACGAAATTCAACGTATTCTTTTGCAAACTAGTAGTTTACATTTAGCGTTCCCGTATTCCAAGAAATAGTCAGACTTAGTCCGAAGTCGTTCCTGTACTCGCATTTATAATATATTCAGTACTGCCTTCCGAACAATTTCTGACTAAATCCGGGAGTACGGTAATAGACTAAGTATTACACCCAAAATTAGTGCAGGCACCCATTTATAATCAACTAACATTTATATTATTTCAGTGTCAACGATATTTGCAACAGAATCGCTTCACTTGAATAGCGGCAGGGCTGCTTGTAGTATAATGCCTAAGCTTGTTCCATCCGAATTCCGTAAACTTAACGACAAAGGCTGCAGACTGAAGTTCGGAAATAACACTATGTTTGGTATCGTCAATCCGTAGAATAACACAATAAATTCATAATTCATATTACACAGCGTGTCCAATCATCCAAACAGTGGAATCATCCATGAACGCAGAACCAGTTCATGGAATCGGCTGCATTTGATGCAGCTACAAGGTATGGCAAGCACTATTGCACTACATTTAGCAACATGGATACACCTAAAGCAAGTTATAATTTAGCAAAACAACATAACATGTATGTATATAAACTTTTTTTTTATTGATTTGTTAAAGATTTTCACAATAAATACAATTTGTCACGCATTCAGCAATCACTTAAATTTTCTTTACTTTCGCTTTTGTCAACGTGTGTACACATATGGTAAAGTATAATTTAGTACGACAACATGATTCATAAGCATTTCTTTACTAATTTTCAAACGAATTTGCATTATAAAAATAATTATTAAAGCTTTCAACAATCACGCGGTTTTCTTCGTCTTCGCTTTGTTGTTTACTTCTTAGCTCTGTTAGAAACAAAATGGCGTCGAGATTTCGAACAGCGAAAAATAACTTTTTTCTTTCTTTCGTTTGCGCGTGATCTTGCATGATGCAAAAATACAAAGTGGTATCAATTGTGACAGCTCGATTTGACACTGCCTTAGCTCAGTAGAACGAGAAGAGAAACGGGAAGAAATTAAGCCCCATTTGGGGGAAAAATATAAAATCTCACATATTTTCCCGAACCAAATTTGCTTTTTTATAGTATGTTCGTAGTGAAATGAAATAAAATAAGATAAAATACCTTTTTAAGAAAAAAACTTTGTATACTGAGAAAAAATAATAAAATATTCAACTATATTATTAGGCAAAGAATTGTTAAAGAAGTAACACTGTCTAACCTAAGGCAGTCAATATGGCGGAATTAGAGCGAGAAGTTGCCAACTGATAACACCTGTATTATTGCATCATGGTGATCTTGTGTCTTTCGTTCATGGGTTTCAGCTAACCAACCACCTCTAAAAAGAAAGCGCTTTTTCACAAACAAACGATTTCCATAATGCAATAGAAAATAAACAGAGTACGAGTAACAGTGCAAATATCTCAAATGAGGGTAAGTATAGCTATTATTTATTAATATTCAACAACTCTTTCTTCTTCTTTTTATTTGTCGGTTTCAGCTAACCAACCACCTCTAAAAATAAAACTTTTTTCGCAAAAAACGATTTCACTAGTGCAACCGAAAATAAACAGAGTACGAGTACCAGTGCAAATATCTCAGATGAGGGTAATTTATTACAAAAACTTTAACTGAATAAAATTTTTTACTAAATTTATATAAAACCTTGTTTCAGAAATTTTGGAAACCTTGAAAGTGGTCTTGAAAACCCAAAACGAATTCATAGAAGGCATAAATATAATTAACCATAATGTAAGATATTCACTTTCCAACATGTGCTGTAACCAAAACAAATTTTTAAGCAAAGCAAGAAGTCGATTGAAAAAGAGAACATGTATACTTTTTATTGTCCTTTTACATAAGCAAACCACCATTGTTCAAAACCAAATCCACATCTCCGAGGTATTGGAACAGGTCCAGCAAAACATATGTCGTATTTGAAATCGGTATGGAATCGCAAAATATGATGTTACGAGAATTTCAAGGTGGTAGCAAAGATTGAGAGGTCGGTTTGTCAAATGACTGAAGAAATTTCTGACAAAAATTGTCGAGTGCCCTGCTAGTGTATCATAAACGCTCTACCCTCTGGTGATGGCATAGGATAAAAAGACTAGTCAGAGAACGATTTAACGTCAGTTACATTTCAAATTCGCGTCAATTAGCACAGAAGAGAAACGACTAGCCTAAAAGGCCGGTGTGGATTAACTTCATGTGGGTCAACAAATCAGTGATCGGACTTTAAAAAAATTCTGTGTGGTAGAATCTGGAAAAAAATGTGGTAGATTTCAAAAAAATGTGGAGATTTAAAAGAAATGTGGTGGATCTCTGGGTTTGGATCAAACTTTGTATAAAATTAAAAAGATTCTGCAAGGTTGCACACCCAAATGGCAACTTTTTAATTGGACTCTAAACACAAAGTACAAGATTGAAGTTGTTAAAAATTTCGTTAAGTTTTGGAAATATTTTTTCTTGACATGGTAAAGCAGTTTCTTCCATATTAAGATATTTTTCGAACATATTTTAAGAGATTTCTGCAACCTTTCGGAGCGCTACCAGCTTTTCTTTTTATCACATCACGAAGTAACGAACAAATGTGGCACGTTCCAGAAACAACTAATTGGGATTTGCCGATTTTTACAATTTTCAAGTAAAAGTAAACAACGCCCCAGAAACCTTACATGCACTTAAATTTGCTAATACTTTCACAAAAACCGCCGTTTTTTAACATTTTCGCTATTAATTCTTTTTATAAATCATATATTTTGCAATTTAAAACAATAAAACCGAGTTGTCTGTCAAAAAATTGGTTACTGAGAAAATTTACTATTTTACAGTTTATTTATCCTCCCATTCATATTTGTTTACTTTTACTTGAGTAATGCGGAATCTTGTATTATATCATTTTTGTTACCATATAGTGTTTAGTTTTGGACAATTTTTGCTTTTAAAATTAAGAAAATTATGTCAAGCAAAAATAAAACTACGGTGAAACCCGCTTAAGTACCCCCCCTTCCCCCCGCTTAAGTGCCTAACCCGCTTAAGTAACCAACATTTTTGGACACCATGAATTTTTTAATGTATTCTGAAGAAAATCCCTCTCTTAAGTACCTCCCCGCTTATGTCCCCAACCCGCCTTAGTACCTCAATTTTTCATGCCTCATTTACAATTTTACTTATGATTTTCCCCTTTTAAGTGCTCTTTTAAAATTCCTTAAAATTTTTACGTATTTTGAAATTCAGTAGCAGCGCCACACACCTTCGGTAAAATAATTCTAAAAAATCAACGGTAATTTTTAGCCACTTGAAACTTGAACATAATTGCACTAAAATTGAATGGGCTATAAAACTGTATACTCAAAAAACACTTCTGAGGAAAAAGTTTGAAATTATGATGATTTTTTTTAAGTGTTCTACAAAATCTTAAGCTTAGGTTTATATGGTATTTGTTAGGGAATGAACTGCATTTTAATTGATTGAAAAATCTTAAAAATTAGGGAATGAACTGCATTTTAACTGATTGAAAAATCTTAAAAATTAATAAATAAACATAAGAGGCAAACGATATTATTTTGAATTTGGTACAAAATGGTATGTCCAACTTTGACCTTGTAAACAATTTACTTCTTGTAAAAATGACATACCATTGCACTAAATATTTTTTTTAATAAAGTTTTTCATTACTTGTTTATGTGTTTACATAATGCTACGATTTTGTTTTTAAACTATGTATATTTACTTCATTAAATGCTGTTATTCAAGTATTTATGTAAGTTAACAAGAAGATGTAACTACATCAGTAATTATGTCCGCTTAAGTACCCGCATCGAGGTACTTAAGCGGGTTCTCTTAAGTACCCAACCCGCCTAAGTACCTCAAAAAGCTGACATTTTTCTTGAGGTACTTAAGCGGGTTTTACTGTACTCAAAAACGCAAATATGTGGTAGATTTCAGACCTTAAGTGGTAGATGTGGTAGATGCTCAAAAAAGTGGCAGATCTACCACAATGTGGTAGAAGTCCGATCACTGCAACAAATTGCAATCATGTTTGCCCTAATTAACTTGTTATCTTTTATACGGAAAGTAATTTCCTAAAATTATGCAATGTGTTATAAAATCGCTAGGTTTTAAATTAAATTTTGTAAAATGTAGTCGAAAGAATGTCTTAAACAAATACAGCCTTATCATGAGTTTCATTTTCCCCGAACCGGTTCACTATTCACTTTTCGTTTCCATGTATTTAGTATGGGAGGATGAAACATTTTCGGGTGTATTATTTTTCGGGCGAAACTCAGGATAAGGCAGATAATTTTAATTGACTTAAAGAGGACCGAAAATTAAATGCGATTAGTATTTAACGGTGACCTTTCAATTCATCGACGGATATGAGACCAATTAATGCACTGATCTTCTTTATTCTCCATGTCCATATGATATTTAGACGCTTTACCACCAAATATGTGTATACCGTCTCATTTCTTTTTGTTTCAAAGAAAGAAATGAATTATTTTAACAAATTTATATATTTTAGTTCGTAGGCCAACAATATTCGACTTCAGTAAACGGAAATAATATGTATGTATTTATGTGCGAATGTATATGCTTAAAATTTTTAGTAAACATATGAAACATGTGGAGCTGTAAATGATGTCTTCACCACTGCAGGATGCGCATCTGTATGAATAGCATGGTGAGTGATAACTGCAGGAGAAGTCTTCAGCAAAGTGGTTCCAGCTGGAGCAGCATGTACATAATGTGTTGTTGGGGTCAAATGAACAGCTGCAGCTGGAGCATGGTGTATAACAGCGTGGGTGGCAGGAGCGTGATGCAGCAATGTCGGTGCTGCATAAGCGCGGATGTAGGTTGGTGTCACAACAGGTGAAATATAGGTTTTGTGTGTCAGCTGTTCATGGCTCTGAGATATACGGACTGAAGGATTGATCGGAGTGGCAGGAGGGGAAGACGGAGCTGGTGCGATTTCATTCTCGAGCTGTTGAAAATTTTGAGTTGGTGCAGGCGCATGGGTCAATACCTTTATAGGCTCGCTAACCTGTTCACGGCGAACAGTGGCTTTGAAACCATTCACAGCATCAGCCGTGTACTCAACTGTGCGTCGGTAGCCATCGGGTTCTTGCAACGAATACTGCCCTCTGATGACATCACCATCACGCTGCTCCGTTTGGGACTTAATGTCTCCAGTAACAGAATCCTGCACGTCATAGTTAAAACTGTAGCTTGGGTAGGAGTCGTACTCCTCACTCTTTTCTTCAGCGGCACTTTCTGCGAACACCGCAAAGGCCAAAGCAAGGAGGCAGATGTTTAGAGTTCTAGGCTTCGAAAGAGGAAAGAATTTTTAAATTAAAATAAATATTTGCGCAATAGCGAGAGTTAGTTACTTTGATATCCATTTTAATGGCGATGTTTGGTTTAAGTTTGTTGTTAAAGTTTTCAAGATGATTACTCAAGTACAGCTGGAACTGAACTGTTTAACTTACAAATTGTATCACCCAATTTATATTATTTGCTATCGGTACTCACCAACCGACCAACATGACCCAATGCCACAGTTAAAGGAGCAAATACTGCATGCTCATGTGGCAAGGTCAGTGTATCCACGAACATGCAGTCTGGCAATGCATGCCAGCGTGAATGTGTTGATTAATATGACCATGCACACTTAAGATTGTGCTTATCATGTCCCATTTACACATGCAACCGCTGCATCATCTGCATCTTAGCACAAATATGTATGTACGTATACATCACCACAGCCTTAATGCAACACGCAACCTGTACCTGTTCCCTTCACCTATGTCACTGTCATTATTTCCGAATACTCATTGGATGGTGGTAGAACCGTAGCGTAGCAGACGATGCATGTGAAACTAAATATCCATAAACATACATACATATGTATGTATGAATGTGGATATAAATATTTAAAAGGAAGGAAATTTCTGCTCGCAATTGCATACCTCAGGGTATTTTTTGAATTATTAAATTTAATGTTAACAGTCGCGTAATGTGTGTGCAATCAATGCACAAAGTAAAAAATGAAATGTATATTCGTACGTACCGTATGTAAAAATTCATTTATTATTATAAAGAAAATTAGTACAATAAGATCCCAAAGATCTTTTTTAGTACAACGGTAACTTAAAATTAAGACAAGAATAAGAGTTGAGAATAAAAAGTGCATAGTTCATCATGTCAAACAAAGCCTGACAAATAGCATTAGGCAAAACTTACAAATCTATATAAAACCAAGAGAGGAAGAAAAAATAAAAAATAAATAAAAAAAAGTTAATAAATAAATAAAAATTAAAAAAAAGAACGACATATAATTTTCAATTAGCCTATATCTAAAAGCATACACATTTACAATTTATATAGATAGCGAACCTCAGCTGATAATGAGTTAATAAGTTAACAAAAATACGAGTACAAAACACTCTTAAAGTTGCTTTTATTTAGACTGTTGCGAATATGTCCTGGAACCGAGTTCCAGGTGCGAATAGCATTAACGAGGGTTTAAATTATGTCACGGAAATTAGTTTTTGTTAAAGTGGAATCATAAACAAGTAATTTAAAAATCATTTCATTAAAGATAAGTTATCACCCGCGCCGTTTTTGGCCGATCGTTTTTACTTTTTCCGCACTTCATTCCATCTTATTTACTTTTCACTTTCTTAATTCCTTTAAAGTTTATAATATTAATGCATCTCAGTCCCCCTGTCACAAGTGTTCTCATTAGGGATGCCAAAATATCAGGAAAATTGGGATCCCGGGATTTCGGGATATTTTTTAGGTAATCCCGGGATCCCGGGATTTATCCCGGGATTCAAATTGAGTAGATAAATTAAAATTGCATCGTTTCGAAAAGGGTAAAGGTCCTTGTTTTATGTTTTCTCGTATATATTCAATGAAAGGAAAATTTGCTAAGGCCAAAAAAAGCTCCCAAAATTCGATAAGGCCAAAAAAGTTCTAAATCTTTTAATAAATATCGAATCCCTCTGATTCGTATGGAGTTTTGCTTTGCTTTAAACAGGCAAAATGTTGTATTCAAAGTTTTGCGAAATATTTGAAGAAAATGGCTTTGCTTTAAACAGGCAAAATGTTGTATTCAAAGTTTTGCGAAATATTTGAAGAAAGTGGCTATACGAAGTTTTANCGTATGGAGTTTTGCTTTGCTTTAAACAGGCAAAATGTTGTATTCAAAGTTTTGCGAAATATTTGAAGAAAATGGCTTTGCTTTAAACAGGCAAAATGTTGTATTCAAAGTTTTGCGAAATATTTGAAGAAAGTGGCTATACGAAGGTTTATCCTCTCCTGTACAATTTTTAAATTGGGACTTAGCAACTTTGCACTCTACGCTAGCGATATTTATTAAATCAGACAAATTTTAAAGTATAACATTTTTTAATTGTATTTAAAAAACCATGTGATTGAGGAACGTATACATCACAAACAATAATGTAAATACCAGGTACTTTTGAAAGTGACGATTAATAAAAAAATAAAAAAAAAATATACAAAAACAATTTCTCTAAACATGTTTATTCTACTCTATAAAGAAATGGCGAATGCCATGCCATTTTTTTCGTAATGTACTAANAAATGTTTTCGTAAGAGCAGCAAAGCATTCAAAGCGGAGTCTTCTAAGCTTGACCTACAGTTTTTACATACAAAACCTACTGATGAAAAACATATTTCGGCATCAACACTTTTAGGCTGAACTGTCAAAAGGTAGACATAATCCATTTGAAGATACTGGCCCCTATCTCCTCCATTACAAAATATTTGAACTTCTTTTACCAGCACGTCGGTCAAATTATAAGTTTTTCGATTTGAGGAAGTTTTGAGTAGAGTGATCTAAAAAATTATCTAACTTTTCCTTAAAACTCTCTGTTTCGTTTACATTAGCGACGCTATGAGTAAATTCATTGAAATCTTCTTCAAAAAAGGCTCAGACTGCAATTGCAGTCAAAACGGCATTTTACAAAAATCATACTTCAAAATTCATAAACAAATTCTTACTATCAATTCGGGATCCCGGGATTAATGCAAGCAAATTCCGGGATTTCCGGGACGTCAAAAACACCGGGATCCCGGGATTGGCATCCCTAGTTCTCATGTAAGTAGGGAATACACTTTTAGCAAGTTTTGGCTATTTTTCTTTGTTTAAAACTTGTTTTTTTTATTTTTTCTAACTTTTTAAAACCTTTATAAAAATTGGAAGAGCTTTAACAAACTTTCATCGAAATTTTAAACTGTTTAATCAAATTTTTTAGGTTTTTTTTGAGTATGCAGTTTTTTAAATTTAAGTATAATAAAGTACAAGTTTGAAGTAGTAGCTGGGACGTACCGTTGATTTTTAGCAAATGTTTTGTTCCGCATTTTTTCCATACAAAGTATGTTCGACAATTTTTTGTATGGAGTAAATCAGCAAGACCTTTCACAAAAAAATTGCCAAAAATTTAAGGTAAATCCTAGCTACTTAAAATTTGCACTTCGTTATATAAAATTCAATGGGCTACTCATAATGCTGCTAAATATCGAATTAAAAAGCTCAAAATTTTGATGAAACTTTGTCCCTTACATGGTTTTTGTTTGATAACGAACTACGCTTTCATATAAAAATAATAAACATTAAATAAACGAAAGAAAAATAGCCAAATAATGCTAAAATGTCTATTCCCTATTTATATTTTCGTTACTGTATGTATTGTTACGATTATCCTTGAATTAATCGCTGAATCTTTCTGGTTAGTTTCACTGGATTGTTAAATTGTTTACGTTACAACAATACTTTAATCTTGATTTTAAAATCTACGGTTACTGTTTATTAGCAAATTGTATTGGAAACACATTTAAACAAGCTGAATCTTTTTATTACTATGAATATAACTAGGAAATGTACAGGGCTGTTCCAAAATCCGATCGGAATTGATTTCGCAGCGATTTTGAATTCCGACTCGGAATCAAAAAGGTCTTCGGCAATCCTATCGAAATATCGAACAAAAAGTAAATCCTATTCGAACTGTACAAATTCAAATGCTTAGTTGCTGCGTCCATTGTTTACATTTGTATTTCATTGTAATTATTTCATTTGTGAAAGAGTAGACTGTTTGTTATTAAAAAAGTTTACAAAAAGTTGTATAAAATGTACATAAAGTTGCAATAGTTTGTGGCTGCGATTGCCATTGAAATTAGAGAACAAAATAACATAGAAAAGTTAAAGCGGAGAATTTTGCGTGACCACAGCATTCCGCTAAGTCTCTCAGATTCATTGTGAGATTAATGAATGAAAACTTTATAAATTACTAATAATTTGATTTAATCTTTTTATCTACATATGTTCGTATGGAAAAGTAGCTTATGTCGAAAGGCTGGCTTTAGTACAAATCGGCATTCGCAGCATATGATTGCGAATGACTCACTGGCGCTGAGCCGTTGAAGACCTTTTGGCAAATAAACGTGCAAGGAATAATTTAGATACGAGCAAGTCAATATTCTTATTAAGTCTCATCAAAAAACTCCTTGTCGTTTAAAGAATAAAGGGAATGCCGCATTATACTACGATACAACACAAGAACAAAGATATAGATTTGTTGCTCAATACCGTCTAAATAGGAATGCGTTCTCCATGGTAACAAGTGAAGTTTAACCATACTTAAAAAAGATGTCTTTTCGACCTATTATTCAATTGGCTGCCACACTCAGGTTCTTAGATGAAGGAGGTTGCCAGAGGTCAGTAGCATAGTGTAATAAGCAAAGTGAAATCAAAATATTACATATTTATTTTTTATACGCTTATATGACAACGGTTTTGTCATTGTGTTAACCCATTTGAAACTAGCAACATTATAAATTAATTTCAAAATAAAAAAATTTTGATTTCAATTCAAAAAATAATTGTTTTAGAAATTAAAGAACAAAAAGTAAAAAAAATCGTTTAAAATGCCATGTGTTTATGCAGAAGCACTCACAACAATAAGGTAGGTATGTTTCGTGTGCCAACAGATGTTACGCAAGGAAGGGATTGGATGAATGCGTGTGGTGTTAAACTAACTGGATCATCAAAAGTTTGCACTTCAAATCGAATGATATCATTTATGCAAGTATTAATGCCAAGAGAAGACGCCTCGATCCAGATGCAGTACCATCAAAGATGTTACCTGCTATTTCATCAGATGAGAGGTAATGATCAAAGTGTGGGTATGTTCTCAAATGCATTAGTGCAAAGGCATATCGTAAAAATAACGTCCAATAACTACAACCGCAGTGCGTCAAACAGATGTGAAGTATCGCATAAAATTTATACTTTCGCCAATTTAGTAATAATAGATAGTCCTGATTTGAAGTAATTAATTTGAGAAAGAATCCCTAATCTTAATGTGTATATATATACATATATAGGGAAATCTTTTGAGATGGGGACATTCTGCGTACTGGCATATTGTTTCCGAGACAAAGCAGCTGCACTGCCAAGTGCGGTTTCTGTACCTTCGTCAATACTATTTATACGTGTAAATATCAGTAAATAGTTATGCACAAAAAATACGGTTAAATGACTAATT